ACATTTCAGTTTTTCAGCGAGGATAAGGCCAAATGATTATACAAAATTTCTCGTCCCACCCTTCTTCCTTTTTCTTTCTACTGGTCATTTTATATTTTACTCTGAAATGGAAATAAAGGACATTTTAAGGACATCTACACATCTAGACAGTCAGCCCCTGAAGTGCATGTACAAAATGGGTTGCACTTAATGAAGTTTGGGTTAAAATTGACCCCATAGTATTTGTATGTATTGGACAAATAACCCCTCCTTCTTATTTTAGAAAAAAAAACCCGGACGAGAAATAAGGAATCAACATTACTTAGTCTAACCTTCCGACCAATTACAATGATTTTACAAATTATTATCCGTAAAAAAGGCATCAATGCACATAATAAAAGACTGACTCTAAATGATCATTCCAATTTTTTCTAAATTATTATAAATCATTGTCAGAGTGATCTCCATAGCCTTTAACGATTTGAACAGATCTCTATGATTCGATAATCAGGATAAACGGTTTTAAGGCATTGGTGTCGGAAGTGGAGATAAATACTATAATTTCATCAAGGACTGCAAACTTGTTGATGATTAGCATCAGCTAATGGTCTATAGGCAAATTCTGACATCTGTTAGCATCTCTCACAACCTAAGTCGTCATCCTATAGGAGATGATCTAAACATATCACGGCCACACATGGAGTTTCCTCCTACTATGACGTAATCAATCAAACAAAATAATTATCATAATGCTGATATCAGTGACAATACCGATACTTTTTCGAAATGTCATGTTTATAATACAATCCTCTATTTCCTAATGATACATTCTGTTGGCAATTATCCAACTCGGCCATTTTTTTTAAAGAATCACTCCTCCTTTCACAAAGTTGGATTTAGATGCATACATCGTATCAGAAAGCTCATGCTTGGGTTGCCAAATCAAATTTTGTCTTAAAACATTTTTTTTTTTAAACCGCGTTAAAATTACGTGAAATAATTATTCGCGACTTTTGTATTTATGATGAACTGACCTAATAATGACTAAAAAGAACTTCGAATAATAAGGTTCTTCCTTTTTGTTGCTTTTTGAAATGGATATTTATCCAGCTATTTTTTGTCTTATCCAATGTCATCCAATAATACCAATGGTTTCGGAGGGATTTTGTACTTATATTATAACTACTTTTTTATCATTATCATTATTATTATTTTGTATTTGTATTATGGTTATTTTCATCACTATTATGGTTATTTTCATCACTATTATTACTATTTTCATTATTATTATTTTGCAGTGATCTATTTTACCTAAATACTATTTGTAAGTGCGGTCGCTCGTTCACATTAATGTGATTGACATGACTTGAATTAAACCTAATTGATCATATAAAAAAAAACTCGTATTTCAATAGTCTAATCAATGACAGTCCGCACAGTCGGTCTGTCTATCTGTCTGTCCGCCTGTCTGTCTGTCTGTCTGTCTTACTGTGTGTCTGTCTGTGCACGAGTGTTTCTTGTCATACATGATGACACGGTGCCATCAAGTCATATCACCATCCCAACCAACGTTCACAACTGATGATAACAATATCGGATGTTGCAGTGCCATGCAGATTAAAGAGAAGATTGATTTCTGTGAACGGTACAGCATTAATTTTTGAGCCTTCCAATTCTTTAATTGTTTTAGTGTTGGCGCGTATTATTGTAGAAACGTACCTTGCAAAGAGCTGTTCTTCGAATACCCTTATTTTTGAAGGAAAAAAATGGGGGGAAAATTGCTAGGAAGTTTGGATAAAACTTTCTTGCTATAACTGTGAAGGAAGTTCGCCATGCCCGTTTCTGTGTGTAGTGCTGTCCACTCAATGTTACTTTCTACAAGATTTAGTCCAATTATTATCTTTCTTTTTTTTTTCTTTTTTTTTAGGGGGGGGGGGGGGGGAGGGGGGTAATTTAAATAACTCAAAACGCAAAACTACTGTTTATTCATCTATTACATTTAAAAAAAAAAAAAGATCTACTACATATTCTACTTTTTTCATATTGTCGCATTAATATTGCAATCGCCTGACCACAGATCTATAATGATCTATCTTTGATGATAAAGAAGTAGAATTGCCAGAGAATGGTACAAACGTCACGTTAATTGGCCCGATAGCCTTGACTTCGGTCGTTTCGGTACATTGATTACAACGATCTCCCTCCCTCCTGGTTTCCCACGAACGCTACCTAGCCTCTATAACCAGTCGTTTGCAGTTTGCACAGACTTAAGCTTCATATTATAAAGATGAAATAAAATATTAATGATACACAACTTGATCTATTTTTTGTACATGTTTCAAACGAAGATGAATTCGTTTATTGTTGCTTATATTCTTATATTCCAAATTGAATGTTAAAAAACTTCTTAGAAGTGATAATCCCAAAACAATGTGGTTTCAAAATGTTTCAATGTTGATGAAATGAGCAGCGGCAGTTATTGGTTTAAATTATTGTCTTGCTTTTTTTGTAGGAGGAATGACTTACAGTGCGAGTCCGGAACCGGCTTTGTTTTTAGAAGCAGAACACTTAAACATATACGACAAAAACACTTTAAGGAGAATCGTGTAACTTATAAGAAAGTATTAAGTATAAGAAAGTAATAAGGAAACTATGAAACTCACCGGACAAATAAGCAACACAATGACATTATTGCCTCACAACTAAACAGTAAGTTTCCTTATATCGATAGTACAAATCTAATTACAGATCTTTTATCCCAAAATATGATTTCCTTTAAACTTGAATCTTCATAAAATGTTTAATGAATGACAACAAATATTGAGATTGTTTTCCAAATATTACATTTTCATAATCATTCATATAGGCCTATATCATATCAACAATTCATATTTATGTTTTACAGAATAAAAAAATTTAAAGGGAAATCGTGTCACAAGGAAACTATAAAGCTCACTAGACAAAATAGGCAACGCGACGACATTTTTTCCTCACAACTTAACAGCTAATTTTCTTATCTTGATAGCACAGATTTAATAACACATCTTTAATCCCAGAAAATGATTTTCTCTCAACTTGAATCTTCATAAAATGTTTAAGGAATTACAACAAATATTGAGATTGTTTTTCCAAATATTATATTTTCATAATCATCAACAAAATAATTTATATTTATTTTTACAGTGAATGTTAACTTATTATAATAGGCCTAGGCCTATGTCTCTCTCTCTCTCTCTCTCTCTCTCTCTTAGAATCAAGCCTATAAATGTTGCCGCCCAACCCCCCAACCCCCCTCCCTCCCCCCTCCCCCCTCATCCTACCTGAATCGAGGCAGCATAATATTTTCGTCTTCTTTATGATATTGGCTCGCGTCCTGGCGGAAAATGAGCGACTGACACAAAGTATCCGAGACATGATTGGGAGACGAGATAATTATAATGAACATCCAAATAGGAATAAGTTTCCAATTGTTACGTCATCAATATGATATCCCCTTGCGCTTTACGTCCCAATGCCAAGCCGTCATTGGCTAAAATCTGGTGCGAGCGACAGTTTTCTATTGTTATGCCATAAATCCTAATTTTGAGGGCTGTGATTGGCTATAAGTTGGTGTGTGCGTATCGGTTTGTGAAAAAAAGTCAAATTTGACTAATTGCCATATAACGCGGACTACAACAGAGGAGAAGTAGAAGAAGAAGAAGAAGAAAAAGAAAAAGAAAGAAAAAGAGAGAGAGAGAGAGAGAGAGAGAGAGAATAATTGTGTACAGTGCACTTTGTTTCTTATCTTTATTTCCTGATTTTTTTGTCCGAAAACTGACGAGGAAGTCTGGTCATTCCACAGTGAAGTACGATTCAAAATCAATTGAACCGAAAATAGTTGATTCACTTTGACCAATATATATTGTTTACATAGGAAAACAGTATCTTGCATCAAATGCTATTCTTCGATCATATTAAAGTCAGGAGTCCTTTCTTATAATAATTATGTGTAGGTGTCGTGGTTTAGTAGTTCATTCAATTTACTCTCAGTCCAAGGGACTAGCGTCATCAACATTTGCCACCCTCCGAACAGGTGTGAAAAGGGTACCTGACAATAGCTGGGGTAATACAAATGGCATTTAAATTCAATTAGACTTTTAGCAGGGAAACACAAGAACTTTCTCTTCCCCCTCTCTCTCTCTAATCCATATTCAATTCTTTCCCCTCTCTCTGTCACTTGCTACCCCGCACATCTCTCTCTCTCTCTCTCTCTCTCTCTCTCTCTCTCTCTCTCTCTCTCTCTCTCTCGCTCCCTCTTACCCCCCCCCCTCTCTCTCTCTCTCTCTGTAACCCATGTTAAAGATAAAGACCAGTTCTGGTCATGCGATGACATTGTGAAAGAAACGTTGTGGAATCGATCAGAAAGGTTGATCATCTAGCATATAAGTATTGGTGTGTACTGCAAGGTTCTGGAATCATCGAAATGATAAGAAATTTGACCCAGTCTTCGTAAAGTTACAAGCACTGTTCACATAAAGATGTATATGGGACTACGCACACCGTGCGCGACACGTGCGTTTATCTCTCACACACCAATAGATAAACTAATTTACCAAATATATCAATTAGTAGGCGGTTTCCCGGCAATTTTTTTATCATCATGTATTAGTCAAAACATATTCTTTCACATTATTGGTAATAAGAGCTTCCATTTCATTTTTGTTTAAATTGGGGCGTTTCCAATACTGGTCTTTACCTTTATTTCTTTTCCCTCTCTCCGTAACTTTATACCCCAACCATCTCTCCATCTCTTTCACTTTCCGTCTCTGTGTCCATTTCTGTCTGTCTGTCTCTATCTATCTGTCTCCCTGTTTCTCTGTCTCTATCTATCTCTCACTCCTTATTCTGTCTCTCTTTCTCTCTCTATCTCTTTGTTCATCAAAATCAAGCTTCTGTTTTCTTTTATTCTACAGACATGAATACCCGAACGAGGCTTTTAGATGAAGAAAAAATGAAGAAACAACTCAAAATACCCGATTCCATACGTGTTTCTTCTATTTTTATTTGAAATAATACATGAAGGAACGAACATTTACAAGACCAATTACAATCTACATATTGACTTCAAATATGTTATTTACAATATCTTACAAATTGTAGCATATACAATAAAAGTCGACGGCAAATAATATTTCGTTTTGAAGGCTCTTGCACTCATGGATCTGCCGGTGAACAAATGCTGGCGTTTTTGACAATGAGCGCAAATAAAAATAATTCTACATTTCTTTTGAAATATTTTGCACTCCTTTCAAACTGACTACCTGGAGCTGCCATACCGCTTTCCTCAGGCTTGCCCGATAAAGCAATAGAAGATTAACTTGAGTTCAAGTTGACCAGTGACATTGTAAACCAAATTTTCTTAGGCACTTCCTGGAACGAGCACATTGAATGAACAGTTCTTACTCTAAGATGACAACAGTTTGTATCCTTAAATACCCAGTATCATAATTATACGAGCACATATTATCTCAATTTAGGTTGTTGTTTTTTTATAGATTTTTTAAAGATTTTGAATCATTTTTATCAGGCAAATATACTTCTCCTATTCCCCCATCATTGAAAGAAACACCAGTTTAAATACTAGAGACATTGGCTGTGCTATCGCTATGACTACGTCCACAATAACAATTAGCTAGTCTGTAAAACAAAAACATCTGACAAAAATAAGTACGTGTTATGGAAACAAAATAAAAAGAATTAAGTACATGTAATGGCCTACAAAGAAATTCGATCGACTAAAATGAAACGAATTATGTGTTGATTTACTTGAAGGTACTATTTGACTTATTTAATGGTAATTGAAAGTGATTACATTCTTAATTTTCTTAAAGACGTGTTTGAAAAAAACCTTTTCAAACTTTCAAGCAAAAAAAAAAAAAACCACACGAATATCTTTTTCATAGTCTAGTGTTGTTAATAAGGAATTCGCTTCGTTTGTGAATACACTTCGTAAACGCAATTGGGCAATGTTTCACAATCCCCTCCCAATCTTTTCTATTCAAGAAAGATTTCACCATTTTGTTATTTGTCTTTATTCATCTGTTTCCCCTTGAATATTACTTTGATGAATATTTTATGAGAGCTAGCCCTCAAAATTTCCAATAGTACCTTCAGAATTACATTTACACAGTCTAACGCTACGAGAATGACTACAGAATGAAAGAAACGCAGTGAATATGGATAGTAACAGACTATTCTCCTCTCTCCTAAATTTTTTTATTGTTGATCTTCAGTGGCGTAGCTGCAGTGACACAGCGGGAGGGGGGGGGGGCGTCATCCTCCAATCGAATGGCCGAAAAAGACAGTAATAGAGACATATGAAGAAAGGGGAGGCGAGGATAACGTCGAAATAAAGATACGAACCCTACCAAAAACTTCTCGTACTGCATTCACCCCTCCCCTATGACACTAGCCCACCCCCTCCCCCGCCCCCTCCTCGAGTGGACCCATGCTACGCCACTGTTGATCGGATTTGATCATAAACTTTGAGAAAGACTGCTGGTAATTATTAATAAAAAGTATGCTTATTTGTTGCAACATCGTTCATAGATCAAAAGGACGTCTATTATTTAGTTGGCAACAAGACCAATGTCGTCGAGGATTTTCGAATTAAGAGAAATTTTCGACAACTCAATTCCGTAGCAATTAGTGTCATTGCAATTTATGTAAATGCACAAAAATAAACTAATAAGAAGAAACACATTGTACAAAAACATGTTCTTACATATTTTATGCTATTGAAACAAGAGAACAAAGTTTGGTCTGAGTCAGCCTTTCAACACAAATCATAAAAGTCTACTCTGAAATTAAATGAATCGAATGAAATACACATCATCCAGAAGTTGATTATTAGCAAACATTTTCATGATTTCATCTTATTAGTAAATCACTCAATTCAATACTAACAAAATAAACTGTTGTACTTTTCCAGTGTTGTTTGGTACCATGAGCCTCTTATTACAAAATCTTATGGAAACTCGCTAAACGTGTGAACCTATCGCTAAAAGTATGCCTTTAAAAGAAGACGATCACTCGATTAAGAAAATATAGACGTTTTTAAAATCACGAGCATTTGCATCAGAAGGAAGACATTAATTACAAAGGCAAGTTTGATCAGTGGAGTGCATGGAAGACTACATTCATAGGAAGATCAAAATGTGATTAAAGGCAAGAATGATACATGAGAAAATATAGATTTGTGTTTGTGCATAGTACAAGATCCGGTCATTCATGAGTTTCAATGTTCTTTAATGACTTCAAATGATAGATAGAGGGCGGTAGATCTGGAAGCTGTTTCAATCGTTATTGCCTAATCTCTAGCGTCCATTGTTTCTTATAATATCAAGAGCTTTTAAAATAAAATTGGCAAGCACCTTTTACAATGTTTCTAAGTCACCTTCGCGACTGTTCGAATCACCTGTACTCCTCCGGGGTTCCCCCTTGATCACCAAACAGACAAGGCTTCTAAAGATGGATGAAATTGCGAAGTCTCTGTCAGTTAATATCCTCAAGAAAATGTAACCTTTGCATTTTCATTTGATGTCAAATTCTGGATTTTTTTTCCAAATATAAAGCACAAAGAAGGCACTAATGAATAAAGCAATGTCAAGTGTATGGTCATCAAGTCGGATTCGCGTAGGCGCCGGAGATGTAACATTGTTGATAAACTTGCTACGTGTCTTTTTCCATGGATATTGCCAAAGGATTGTAGTAAAACATGCTTATGTTGTTGTTGATTAGATTTAGACTGTTGCTGTAGTTGCTATTCTAGTTGATGATGTTGCTGTAGTTGACGTTGTTGCAGTTGTTGTTGTTGTGCTGCTGTTGAAGTCGGTGTCGTTGACGATATGGATGACAACGATGATGATGATGATGATGTAAAAGTTGCTGTTGTTTTTGATGTGTCGAGCAACAAAGCAAAGCTTATATAAGCAAAGCACCTTCCGCGACTCGAAGCCCCATCCACTCGAAGCTCCATCGTTTTCGGGATGGATGCGATCAACTAGTTCATTTTCATCTACCGATGAGAAGTCCTCTCAAAGACTATCTTCTGGGACCTGCATAAAAGATGAAAGAAATTACAAACAATTATTAACAATAAATAGAGGATCGATGTATTGATTTTCTTCATTTTTGATGGTAATATTATACATTACAACGACGAAGATACATTGAACATCTAGCATTGTAAAATGGTTTTGATCATTTAATTTTTTAACACGATTGCAACTACTTTCGCAAAATCAAATCAAAGGAAACTTCAACTAGTACCCTATTGAATATATCCTGTATAAAAAAATAAAGTGCGGGTTACGTGATACCTCATTGTATTAATGCTCGCGCACATCTAAAGATATGGCAAAAGTAGTTAAGATCGTGTTTTATTGAAACAATATTAAAACAACTGATACTAAAAGAGAAGTTGAAAGTCAGGAGAGGAGACAGAAAAGAAAGAAAAAAATAAAGACAGCAAAATAAACGATAATTTATAAAAAGAGAACAATGAAGTTAGGTGCAAATACACGAAGCTAAGGAGGGGGAACAGAACAATGCCTTCAATATGACATTTCTTTTAAAGCATTCAACCTAAATGAGAGGCTAAAACAATGGTGAATCCAAATAATAACTTCGGTTGATTTTATATTCAGACCACCTAGCATTTGATTACATCTCAGTCAAAACAACATTAGAAATGATATATATACCATAACATTGTTCATTTCAACTATTTATTGTCATAAATTCCCGAATGCGTTCACCGCCCGGTCACCGAACCCGTGTCAGTCACGTGACCCACAGTCAACGGAATGGGTTTTGTGGTGTCGTGTGTATGGACTAAATGACACACGCCATATTGAGGATTTGGGGGGGGGGGGGCGGTTTATAAAAACAGTTTTGCAAACTGTGGCGTACATACAGGGAAACGTCTCCCACTAATGAACATACAAATACTATTTTAACAAGAAGAGGAGTATAATGAGGTGAGAGTGACAGTAAAAAAAAGTGGGACATTGGAAGCAAAATCGAAGTACCAGGACTGACACTGGCAACAGCACTAGATCTCCATCTATGAACTGTACTATTAAAGAACCATGATATATGACTACACAGTAGACACAAGGCAGTATTCATGAGGGATACCTATTCCATCCATGGTATTCATACTGACTGACTGAAGCTTAACAAAAAAATATATATATATAAAATTTAGAGAGTTATATAGATAAAATACAGATCTTCATTTTAAAAGAAATAGTTAAAATAAGGAGAAAGTTTTGGGATGTTAGAGTGTAAACGAACTGTTTCAGGTGCTAAATATTTATATGTTTGTAGTGCTGTGACCTCATGAACGGAGATTAGTTACACGGCCACAATCCCTTACCCCCTACCCCCCCCCCTTGCCCCTTCCCTCTAACCCGCATGTAATGACGAAAGAGCGGAGCGTGCAAATAGGAGAGATGAGAAGGGCATAGTTCAACACCTGAGATAAGCAAAAGAAAAGGATGAGATACGATGAAGTGATATGTTTGAAGAGTAAGAAAGAGAGGGAGGATAGCATGAAAAAGAAAGAGAGAGAGGGGGGAATAGCATGTAAGAGAGAGAGAGAGAGAGAGAGATAGAGAGAGAAAAATTACGACGGGTGGGTGGGGGTGGGTAGTGAATACCCTCGAGTTCTATTCCGATGTGTATTTCTTTGATAAACATCTTTGAACAACGTCTTGCCGCTTGGTTGCAATGTTCCTCCGTGGCCCTTGCAATGATCCACGACGCTCCATTTACCACGGGCACGTTCTCTCTCGCTCCTCAACGAACACCAAGGGATTCACTTCTCCGGCTACACCTCAGGCAGGCCATCAAACTCTTACCCATGTATAAGGGGTAGGGTTATAGGTGAGAGCACCGGTGCATGTACGGGGGGGGGGGGGGGGGGCATCCAGCTCGTTGTCCCCCCCCCCCATAATTTGTCCCCTTCATTGTGTACCTGTCAGGATTGTGCCCCCTCTTTCGTTTGACAAAATTAAAATCCATCGTCCGCCCCTAGCTGCATGGCAGGCCTTGTGGCTAGTGTGACGGTTATTACGTAGAGATGATGAGAGGTGATATTGGGAGGCGTCCAAAAATGAGGGTAGCTGTAGGGGTATTTTACCACCAACATCCTCAAGCGTATACCAATATTGTGAACCGAGGGGAGATGTAAATGCTCCTTCCCTCGTCAGGCTTAGAAGTTTAATACAATTAATAAAATATCGTTAAACTATTGGCTGCGTACAACTTCCTGCGGTGCCATTAGAAAGACTGGGCTAATGTACGTAAAATAAATTCAGTCATATGATAATTTTGTACAATTAAAGCTGAATGCAGATGAAAACAATAGCTCACGATCAATTGGGCAAAAAGAATTTCCGTTTCGGTTTAATAAAATTTGGAGTGGACTATTAGGCTATTATTATTATTATTATATCATTATTATGAACTGCTGTAGAACGTTACGATCGGATCGAGAATGCATGTCACAGTTATTCGTTTTGATTTGAAAGAATGTTCCAAAAAGCTGCGTAAATAGTCATCAATAATGATGAAAATTCCAATAACTAAATCAATTATTATCTTTAATTGTTCAAAGTATGCACCAATTTGAAATCATTCCTCATCAACATTTCATCATTTTATCTGAGAGACAAATAGTATACAGGGTCTAATGTTTTAATTTTATACCTTATTTGAATTATAATAAAAAGAACAAAAATGCCGTTATTGAAAAAGATATGAATACAACTGCCTTGAACAAAGCATATAGATAATCCACGAATGTCGATGTGTTTTCACAGGTCGAAGTTCCCCCGGTCGCTTCCCGTACACATAAATACAACATTCATATTTGTCGTTTGACTCCATAAAAAAACGAGGGAAGATATATGTGTGCAATCTGCGGTCATTACGATCTTATTAGAGTGAAAGGTCGTAACTCACTCGACCCTGCCTCAGAAGGGGTATAAATCTTGCTCGCCCGAGTTCCACTCCGCCATCAAATAGCATGACCTCGATTGAGAGAGCGCCGAAACTGGCCCATCAATCCAGACAGAGCTGACTGCTGCCCGCTCCCGCACACACCCGCCATCGTAAAAACAATCTATACCGTAACGTGCATGGCTATGCCTTTGAAATCTGCACATCCATTTTAGACGTAATGCTATGTCACTTGAGTGGGCCATCCACCCTGCCCAAAGCCGAGGCCTACATTCACGTTTCAGATTTTTACATTTTGTTAATGCTACGGTCACAAAGGTTCGTACGAACGATAATTTCGTACGAATCTCCCTGTTTTTCCATTGTCTTCCCGAATAGCCATTGTGGGAAAATCGTTCGTACGGCGTTCGTAGCAGTTCGTAATGGCATTTGTGACCGAGGCTTTAGTTGTGTTTTGTTTGTTCTTACCTATATCTAAAACTTAGGTACAAAATCTTGTCTATCCCCTATAAACGTGATGAAGGTACTTCCGGTCGTAAAGACGTATTCATAATAAATGGATTACTAGCTGGACGGAGCATCATTATTTTGTGTGTTTATGTATATTAATGACGTATATAATTTCAAAATTAAAATTAAAATTTTAATGATTTCAATCGAAACAAATAGGATAATTCTCAATTTCGTGTATACATTGGATGACAAATGTTGAGATAATCGTGTAACATAGATACTTGAGTGTAAGAGTAAAGATAACAATAACCAGGAATGACACAAATTAAGATATATATATATATATATTATATACGGAGAGATAGTGGGGGTTGTGTGTGCTTTGGGGGGGGGGGGTGGGGGTGCAAAACGGTGAGATAATTGAATTTAATTGATAGTTACTATCCCCTGTGAATAAGAGTTGAGCATGTCCTTGGTCAGGTAAGGTCGTTAAGTCACGTAACTGACCAGTCTCATCATCATCCAGGATATTAGCTGGATGAAAACACCACAACAGGTGTGCATGGAATGACAATTGATGCTGAAATATATGCTTCATCATCACTCAAGATTAACTAACAACCTTACAGATAAAGTTGAGTTCTGGTCATGAGATTGCAATGTGACAGAAAAGGTGTGGAATGGATCAGACAAAGTTAATCATGTAAGTATTGGTTTGTACTGCAAGGTTCTGGAGTCATCATAATCATAATAAATTTTGCCTGCCAAGTCTTCGTAAAGTAACAAGCACTGTACACAGAAAGATGTATATGGAACTACACAAATGGTGTCGGGGCTAGTTACCTTGATTTCCTTATCTTTCTATGCTCAGCCAGTTTACATTTTGTATCTAAATTGTTTGGCAAATGATATTTATTTGTAATTTTGAACATTCAGTGTAAGTTTCGTTTGATTCTGTGAGAATTTTTTTTTTTAAAACCAGAACTAAAGTTTATCTTTAAACCACTCGAATCCGAATCAACAAATTTTGCCATTCTCATTATAAAAGAATATACCTGTACCTTCATTGAAAATTGATAAAGAATCGTATGATCGCCTTTGTCAATGATTATTGTTACATATTTACTTTACATAAAATAAAAATAGAGAGTATATATCAATAAATTATGTAGTCTTGTTTCGTATCAAAAAGTCAATAATACACGTTCCAAATGCAAATAATTAGATCAATTTATGTAGATCATGAGCAATGCATAAATAAAACAAGTTTGTAGATGATTATACAAACAATACGTTGATATTCTTTCTTATCTTTTTTAAATAAGTTCTTATTTTGAATAAGACGTCATTGTATGAACACAAAATGTATTTCTTTTCCACGTACCCGCATGGCATGAGCGATGCTTGGAAACAAAACATTCTGTAGTTGATTTTACAAAGTGTCAAAATATGATTTCTTCCCTTCTCTTTAAAGATTAACGCAATTCCCAAGACGGAGCAGAAAGAGTGAATCACAACTATCGGGTTGTTCCTTCGATACTCCTCGAGCAAGGGAAAAGACAAAGCTTAATAAAACCACAAAAGTTGGTTTGGCATCATTTCTCGCGGTTTATCTTTCCGCTGAAGAATATCTGGG